TAACCAAGTAAAAAGCAAAAAAAAAAATGTAATTTAAGTTATCAAAGTGCTAGTAAAAAAAGCAATAAAATAACGAAAAAAAAGAAGCCTTAAGCCAATTATATCAATCTGTGTCCGGCAACAACAGCAGCAGCAATTGCAAATAACAACGCTGATAATATTATATAACTCTAAAAAGTTCTCAAAACTTTTATTTTCTATTCAACATGATCAAAATATTAATCATTAATTTAATGCTCCTCAAATATCAGCTGTTTTTTTTTTTCCCGTTCTAGTTGATATTGCTGTTGCTATCACTGCTGTTGTTTCCGCTGACACCGCTGATACTGATGTTTTTTGCTGTCAATTAGTCTTTTTCTCAGCACAGAACAAATATTTTAGAAACAAAACAAAAAAGTATTTGAATAGTTGATCAAACAAAAATTATTCACATACATATTTTTCTTTTATCAACATTTACAGTAGCAAAAAAATCAGAAAAAAAAATGACATAAAAGTAATTAATCTAAATAAAAAAAAATTTTTTTTCTTTTCCATATTGATTTGGAAAAATAAATGAATTGTCTAAAATAAAAAAATTGATATGGGAATCAGCAGCAGCATTCAAAAACGTTGTAAATTCCTATCTTCTAGCACTCAATTACCAAAAAAATCTCATCGATATCGGTTTCCATTAAAATTTAAACTTTAGAAAAAAATTGAAAAAAAAATATATATTTTTTTCTTCAAACTTTAGTGCCCTTTTTCTTCCTTCCTCTTTGGTGTCTTCTCAACATCAATAATCTCAGATCTAATACCTTTCTTTTTCAATATTAACCAAAAATGAAAAGTTAAAAAAAAATAAATTTCCTTATACTATTATATTCAAGAGTTTCATGTTTACTGAATGAGAAGAAAATAAAATGAAACAATGATCTGTTGTTTTATGTATTCTGAGTAAACAGATACATACCTATCAGCGGTGGATGCTGCAGTAATAGAATCGACTAATATCATTCGCTTGGACAGCGAACCAACTTTTTGTGCCTCAACTTTCAGCCTTACACCAAAATCGGTTTCTGGACGTTTCTCCAACTCGATTATCAATGGCCCAGATTCTTTGTGTAAATTTTCTGCAAAATTTTTAAGCGTTTTTTCTCACTGTCAACAATAGAGAAATTTTAACAGTTTGTCTATTGCTGATAATCAGCACTTAGACCAATAAAGTTGTGCTGAAAATACACACCAAATACTGCAACACTGTACTCAACAGTCAAATTAACAATGTGGACAGTCTCGTCGAGCAATTTTTGTGCCGTAGCCAAAGTTGCACTGAAGACATCAACTCCATTGATGCATAGAATTCGATCACCAACTCGTAGTCGACCTTCTCTGCAAAGGTTAATAATCCATTTTCAGACTTTATAATTTTCACTCCCTAAACACCTTAAAATAACACAGTTTCTCTAACGTTATTTTATTTCTCTAATATCTTCTCAATTTTTTCTCTTTCCTTTTTTTTTTTTTACTTAACTTTTCATCCTGACTATAAAATTGTTCAAACATACTTGTGGGCCGGTCCACCAATACGTATATTCGTTATCGTTATAGGTCGAGACTTATTTTTATCAGGTCCATATGCTCCACCACGTAGTGTTAGCCCAAACCCGTCTTGATCTCGTTCTAATGTTATATCGGTACACTTTCTCATGCTGTTTGGTGGCCATAAAAAATCTTGAAAAAATTGCTCATCCATTTAAGCATCAACAGGAAAAAAAACGATGAAGAAAAAATACTGCTATTCGTCACCTCAATAAGAAAGAATGCTTGAGAGCCATCGAGCAAAATTATTTTTAGAACAAATAAAATAAACAGAATTTTTATATGAAATAGGATTGTATACATTTTTTTATTCCTCTTCAAGATAATCAACAGCTACAATAAGAAAAAAATAGCGGTACAGACAAGCTAAAATTAGCAGTAAATTATTAAAACTAAGATACAAAAAAGCATCAAAAATACTAAAATGGTTAAGAAAAATAAGATTTTAATAACTTACATGGTTGGTTAAGGTCATATTCTACACGAAGAGAAACTTCAGTACCGGCATTTCTCAAAATTGACAATACTTCGTCGTGGGTTAAATCTTGGACCTAAGTAAAATTTTAATATACTAATGCTGTTCTTCTCTTTCTTTTTTTGCCCTATTTAACGGTTTCGTTGATTCAATCAAGAAGATTGTAAAAAAATGAAAACCGAGCATACTTTTTTCTTTGCTGTTTTTGTTTTAAAATAAAATTGCCATTCTAAACGAATAGAACTAAACTAGAGAAAAAAAAAACAAAAAAAGAAATTACTAAAATTGAGCTTCGAAAAAGCAAAGAAATAAAAGTTAAAAAAGACAGAAATTTAGTCTAACAAAAAAAAAAGGAATTCTTACCGCGATATTATTAACATGTGTTAACTGTTCACCGATCTGAAGTTGATCACAACGGTGTGCAATATATCCGGGCCTTAAGAACGATACTGTTGGTGGGTAGGAACGATCCGATCCACCTGTATCAATATAATTCAAAAAATTGGTATTGGCGATACTTTTTTTTTTGGCAAACGAAAATGTAACTGTAGAAAAACAGCAAAAATTTTTTATTTAACAAAAACTGTCTTTTTTTTTCATTTATCATGAATTTTTCATTGTTAAAATTGGTTGAAGAAAAAATTGAGCAGAAAACTAAATTAATGAATGTAACAATAAACAGTGAAAGGCAAGAATTGCGGAAACTGACAAGCTCGGAACAAGGACTAAAGCATTAAATTTCAAAAAATGCAAAGTGTAAGCATTGTGAATGTCACTCACTCACTCACTGAATGTTCGCCTTATTCCATTGGGTAAACCCAAATATTTGATCAAAGTTTGCTTTGTTTTTTTTCTTGTTTTTTTTTTTTTTT